AAAACAAAAAAAAAAAAAAATTACATATCAAACATGTTTCCAGACTTTTAATCTTGTTTTTGGGATCCAACATTTTAAACTACAAATCACAATGAGTAAAGCTGACAGGGATGATGAAAAAAGAAAAGCACTTCGAAAAAAGAGAGATATTGGGTTAATATCATCGATGTCTGAGGAACAATTATTAAAAATGAAACAAGAAGAATCTACAAATAGAAAACAACGTCTTCATTCACAAATGCTTAAATTAACTCTAGAGGAAATAGAAGAGATGAAAAAAAGAAAAGCTCAACAGAAACGAGAAAGTAGAGCTCGTCAAAAAGAATTACATATCAAACATGTTTCCAGACTTTTAATCTTGTTTTTGGGATCCAACATTTTAAACTACAAATCACAATGAGTAAAGCTGACAGGGATGATGAAAAAAGAAAAGCACTTCGAAAAAAGAGAGATATTGGGTTAATATCATCGATGTCTGAGGAACAATTATTAAAAATGAAACAAGAAGAATCTACAAATAGAAAACAACGTCTTCATTCACAAATGCTTAAATTAACTCTAGAGGAAATAGAAGAGATGAAAAAAAGAAAAGCTCAACAGAAACGAGAAAGTAGAGCTCGTCAAAAAGCGGCAGCACCGTCAACACAACGTTCTTTTTCACAACCTATTACGTATTCTGATCGATCTCGACTCTTCAGAGCTCGAAAAAAAGCTGAAAGACAAGAAAACATGGATTCTCATCGCCCCCTACTTGCTGATTTATCTAAAGATTCTTTACTTTCACATACATCTACAGAACAAGGAGAAAATAAAGACAAAAATCGTATGAGTATAGTTTTATAAGAAATACCGTCGATGAACATCTATATTTTCATTTATTTACTATGATTAACTCTTGTCTTACTAGCTACATCTACAAAAATAAATCCACCAACGAATTCACCACAACTTGAAGTTCGTTCAGAATCGGAAAATAATATAATACCTAGATAGCAAGTACCTCGTGTAAATAATCAAGCTGAAGTGACTCAAACAACACAAGGAGAAGATTCGGATGATTCTAGTGATAGGGACAACGAATGGATAACAGAGCATGAAACAAACAGCGATGATGAGGTACAGAGTGATACAGAATCCGAAAGAAAAATTAAAAGTAGAGGTATACAGTGTGAAAGAGTCCGAGGTATGGCATCAAACGTTCGTATTCGTCGTAGAACTCTTATTATAGATAACTCTGATGACGTTCCATTAAGTGATAGGTACAGTGATTATCTTAGGCACAAATCCGCTCATTTACAGTTTCATAAAGAATTCAAGTCAAATCCATTCGGTTATGCTTGCTCAATTTGTGATCGTTTGTGGTGTCAATCAGATGTAAAGTCACCAAAAAGTCAACATGAAACTAATTTACGTTCAATTAATTTTACTTTTGATAATATTCAAGAACATACTATATGTTCTGCATTCAAAAGGGCTATGCCCAATGCCCACACATTTACCAACGTTATCCAAAGGCTCCAATGCCCACACATTTACCAACGTTAGACTTATTATCAGAAAGATTCGTTTCTCCTTGTATTCCATTCATACAAATTAGACGACTCAGACGACGGACAGTACGGCATTTATGGACAAGTTATAAATATTACCGTAGAAATTAATAATATGGTTCGTGTTTTACCGCGTAATATTAATGATGATCATTGCATTAATGTTCATATAAAGAAAAAATTAATTCACAAATCAAGTTATTTGCAAGGTCTGATTAACAAAAAAACAATCAAATGTTGGCTCCAATATTTAATTAAAAAACCGCTTTATGCATATTTTAATATCACTGTCGATGAATCTTTCTTCAGAAATCAAGAAGATATTCAAGACACTCAAATCGATGATCTCAGTGAAAACGTATTAATATAAGATAGTTTAACAGCGCTACAACATACACTTTTTTGGAATGACGAAAAATTTCTATCAATTGCGCCGGGAGAAAACCAATCACCTTTAAGTTTACTTTTTGATGAATATGCTGAAGAATTATCATTTCCATCTATTCATCTAGGTGAATTTAGAAAATTTAGCGAAAATATTAAAGTAACTCCTTATAAGATGGCAATCAGTGAGTTGAGACGATCGGATTGACGGGGTGTTACTCTGAATCATTTATTATATATTGCAATGAAAATCATGAGAATGAGAGTTCGTGATTCTCTAACAGTAGCTTTTAAATTCGTCGGAAAAGATACCCGTATTACTCGACAGCAAATTGAGTCTGAAAGTCATATTAATGATTGTATCGAAACAAATTTAGCCTTTTTAAAATCCATTCCTAATTCTGCGGCTTATTCGAAAGATCGTAAATATGATCTGTTTGCTATGATACGCCAATTAGGTAAACCAACAGTTTTTATGACATTTAGTGCTAATGAGATTGGATGGACGAGTTTACTTGAAGTAATTTATAAATTTAAGAATGGAAGAGCACATATCTCATCAGATGACGTCGCTGCATTGAATTTCATTGAAAAAAGTAAGCTTATAAATGAAGATGCCGTCACATGCGCTATTTATTTTAATAAATTAGTTAATGTTCTGATGAATATTTTACAATCAAAAAAAAAAGTCCATTTGGAAAATATAGAATACTAGAATACTTCAAACGAATTGAGTTTCAACATAGAGGTAACCCTCATGCTCATATTTTAGCTTGGCTTGATAATGCTCCGAATGATATTTTAGGTAATGATTACAATAAAACTATTGATTTAGTTGACTCTTTAATATCAGTTTCATCATCAGAGGCATCGGGAAACATAAAGTTACAAACACATAAGCATACGTTTACTTGCTACAAGAAAATTTCTGCACGCGCAAAGCAAGTTTTTAGATTTGAGGCACCATTTATGCCATCGCCACGAACTGTAATATTAATACCTATGGAAAGAATTGATCCTCGACTCACGGACTACAAAAAACGATATACAAGTATCTGGATGAATTTGGAAAATAATGATAATAATTATATAGATATACATTCATTCTACCAACAAAATGGAATAAATAATGATGATGAATACTTTAATATATTGCGAGCTGGAATAAAACGGCCAAGAGTTTTCCTTCAACGAGAACCATGTGAAAGATGGAATAATCAGTTTAATCCCTTTATATGCCATACACTTAATTCTAACAGCGATTTTCAAATTATTTTAGAAGAATAGTATGTCGTTGATTACGTAAATAAAACAAACAGAGGAGTTAGTAATTTGCAGCGTGCGATAATTGAAATCATGGATGAGCATCCAGAATTCGACATAGTGGAAATCACTAGAAAAATCGGTATTGACATTCTAAATAACGTTGAGATCACAAGTCAAGAAGCAGCTTGGTATTTGCTACGTGAGCCCATGTCAAAAACATCGACAGTGGTTGTTTATATTCCAACTGTTTGGCCTCAAGAACGCCAAAGAATTAAAAAAACACAAAAACAATTGGAGCAAATGAATGTCGATGCAGATTCAACGGATATCTGAAAAGAAAATTACTTTGTTCAGTATGAAAGGAGACCAGAAGATCTACAAAACGTTTCTCTCGCCGAGTTTGTTTCCAAGCATCGTCGAAATTTTCAAAAAAATTATGTTTTAAGAAAACAGCCACGAATAATTAGATACAGAAATTATGATATAACACAAGACTATAACGAATACAGACGAGAGATGGTTACGTTACATTTACCTTTTAGGAATGAAGATAACGATATTTTGGCAGACAGTAAATACATAAACTTGTACGAAGATAATGAAGCAATTATTCTAGAAAAACGACTACAATTTGAATCGAATTTAGATATTAATAAAACAATTGATATTTGTCGTCAATTGTGCCGTGATAATGATGGTGATAATGATATAGAAAATGTGGCTAATTTACATAATGAAATTTCAGATGCTTTTCAATGCATTTATAATAATCCTCATTCTGAAGTTAATGCAGATATTCGTAAGGCTACTCTTAATAAACTTGGTGCCATTGCAAAAAAAAAGAAAATCTAATGGACAATGATGTATTTTATGATTTAATGCGCAAAGCTAACAAAAAACAATAATCTTTACTTCTTCATGTTATTCACCATCTTCTCTCAGATTCCTCGCCCCTGCAAATATTTTTCACTGGACCAGCTGGATGCGGTAAGACTTTTGTCATTAAACTTCTCATGAAAATTTATAATAGATTCACGAACAACGATGGTTTTTGTAACGCATACATAACATATGCCTCAACTGGTAAAGCTGCAGAGGCAATTGATGGCACTACAGTACACACAGCCTTAAAAATAACGCTTACAAAACTACTTCCATTATCGATGGAATTAGTTCAATTATATAGAACTCTATTTAAATATGTTCGCATTTTAATAATTGATGAAGTCAGTATGGTGAGCGCTGAATTATTACAAAAGATTGATTGTAGATTAAAACAAATTACTGGCAATTTCAATGAACCGTTTGGAGGATTAGATATTATTTTGATTGGTGATTTAAGGCAATTACCTCTAGTAAGAGCAACTTCTATTTATAAGTCAGTGAAACAACAAATTGCTGGCCCATCATTGTGGCGTGGAATTCAGTTTTATGAATTGACTGAAGTAATGAGACAGTCTAATCAAATGTTTTCGTCCTTATTGACTAAGATTGGAAATGGCGAGGTATTGGATGAAAATGAGTGTACTTTGATTGAATCTCGATTTTACACGAAAGAAGAAGCTGATAGGCTTTGTCCAAATGGAATTCGTTTATTTCTTGAAAATAAAAAAGTAGACGATTACAATAATTTAGTTCTAAATAATGATGAAAATAAGGTTATTGTTGTAGCTACAGATGAATTCATTGGTTATCATACTGCTGAGCAATTAACTATTGTCACACAAAAGTTCCATAAAATGTCCGTTATCGATACTGGTGGATTACCGTATCAAATAACTTTCGTATTAGGCAAACCTTATATGATAACTTCTAATATTAATGTATCAGATGGATTAGCCAATGGAGCAGTAGGTTCCTTAAATTATGTTGAATACAATGATAATCAACAAGTTACTCGTGTTTGGCTACTTTTTCACGATTCTCCAAAAACCGGTGAAAAAATAAGAAAAAAGTCTCAAATTACGCTCAAAAACTAAACACTAACTAACAAGCAGTACCAATACATCAGCGAACATCATCAACACCATTAAATAATAATAAAACTATAATTGCAAAGCGCAAACAATTTCCTTCAATTCCGGCTTCAGCAATGACAGTACACAAATCTCAAGGAGGTACATTCAATGAAATCGTGTACGAATATGATAAAAAACATAATCCATCATTACTGTGTGTGGCTTTATCACGAGTAACTCAAATTGAAGGGTTGTATATTGTTCCAAGTAATCATAATGATTATAAATTTTATCATCTAAGTCGGCCAATAACTACAGTGGTAGATTTACAAAGAGAATTTCAAAGATTATCATTAAATGCATTGAGTACCGTCGGTGATTCATTATTAAAGTTCATAAGTAATGAACGTGGATTATCTATTTTGTTTTTCAACTGTCAAAGTCTGCGTGAACATTACAACGACTTAACTGATGAGGTTATTTCAGAATGTAATATTCTTCTCCTTTCTGAAACATGGGTGAAAAATGATAAAATAATTGAGATACCAAATTTTAATCACGTTGTTCAATTTAAACGACCCAAAAACAGGGGCGGAGGAGTTGCAATTTATCAAAATACTAATAATACAACAAATATTGCTTCTCCTTGTATGGATATAAATGCTCGTCAGATGGGACAAATGATTTACAGTTAATCTAAAATTGGTGATTTGTGTGCTATTGAATATACTTTACCGACCGGATTGACAATTATAATCGTTTCCATATATATTTCTATAAATCAGACTGTTCAAAAAATCATTGAGTTCATCCATGAATCATTACTAAAGTATACTGTTAGAGGTGCTGCAATACTTAGTAAAAATCATCATACAATTCCTATTATTCTTGCTGGAGATTTCAACATAAATTTTGCATCAAACGATTCATTGCCATTAATTGATTTTCTATGAGACGAATTCGAATTAAACATGGTTAATAATCGTAATCAAGCCACAAATAGACATGGGACCACTATAGATGCCGTTTTTTCCTGATATATTGAAAAAATAGAACCAAAATTATTTATTTCATATTTTAGTTACCATAGACTGATTGTTTCTGTTATGGAATTCTCACAGAAAGACTCAACACAAAATGAAATAATTTAATGTGAATTTTTATATTATTTTATATGTATAAATCTTTTAAAATTTCGACATTTGTAATGTTTTCCTATTTGTGTATGATAAAATAAAAAATCATGAATACAAAACTATACAATACTACTTTGTACTTGAAAATATTTTCCGAACTGTAATTATGACACCGTGACTACATATAACATGAATTAAATAAATACAAGTGATCTACTTATCAAATTTTTTTTTCGTACATACAATAATTCAATTTTAAAATTTGTAAAAAGTGTACATAACACCATACGATTTCTATTACACCGAGTTCAATAACTTACTAGTTGGAAGTTTCACTTTTGCCGGGGGTCCCGAGACCCACACCTTTTTTCTTTTAACATCATGATTCGATTTAAACAGCTAACTTTCTCAACAAGTTTGAATTTAAGAGGACTTTTGAGCATTAACTTTTCCGCAAATGTAAATTATAAATAAATGACAGTCCTGTTTAAACCTTAGGATATCGATTTCTTTAACATCTTTTACTTTTTTCAATGCAACTCCAGCTGCAAATCTAATATCAAAAGCTTTCGCTGTAATTTAATTGTTTTCATTATTTAAGTCGATACTTATAAATTTTTTAACAGTGGTAACTTGATCTAAGACTCTTAAAACAACGATTCAAGATACCGAAGATTTCATCATATCATGCAAATCATCAAACATAAAATGTAATAAGGGTGCATCACTCAGATAAAACCTTTAAAAAATTCCTAACTCGGAAGAGATAATTATCATAGAACTAAGTCAAAATGTATATTAATAAGTAAAAACTTCAAAGTTGGCTTTGTTTCACAATGTTTTATTATTCGCAGACAGCTATTTCGGCAGTTACGCCATTGTCAGATGCTCGACATACACTGAATGGTCTATGTACATCAGTTTGCTGAAGTCAAGTACAAGTATAACAAATGTAGTTGTCGCTCAAGGGTATGATATATATGCGCCTGTGTATGAGTACCTTATGAGATACTATGTATTACATTTTCTATTATTAGAGATAGAGTAAAATTAATTTGATCGTTCGTTATAAATTTATTATGTTTTTTTGCGAATTCTATTTCTATTGTCTCAAACAGCTTCAATTTAAAACTTTTAGGTAAACTGTGAAGTAACTTTATATTATTTTCATCTAGGAAATGCGCATTAGAATTACAATGTTCACTAAAACCAGTCGTATTGCGATCATTATAAATAGACTTTTTATGCTCCTTTATACGTTCGGAAAGGGCACGTCCTGTCTGTCCAATATATATGGCATCGCATTCGGAACAATTAATCTGATAAACACCACATTTCTGTAAAATACCAACTTTTTCCTTATTATTACATAAAATGGATTTCAAGTTACGTTTATTGACCATGATTGTATTTACATTTTGTTTTTTTAAGAAATTACTTATTTTATCGGATACTATGGGAACATAATTCAACATATTAAATTTTTTGGTTTGTTTTGCGACTGCGTAAAAATATTTTGAAATAAGTCTATTGTTTATTTTAAAAATTAGATTATCTATGAGGTTTTCATTGTAACCATTATTAATTGCTAAACATTTTAATAGATTGATTTCCTTTTCGTAATTAGATTTCGTTAACGGTACTGTTAATAATCTATGTACAAAAGAGTAAAATGCGCTCATTTTTATATTGATGGACTGCTTTGAATCGTACGGTACTAACGTATCTGTGAAAGTTGGTTTTCTATAAATTTCATACAACAACTCACCGTCTTTTCGTGTTATTTTTAGATCCAGAAAATTTAAACTATTGTCATTTTCAGCTTCTGCTGTAAATTTTATACCCGGTACTAAATCATTTATGTAGCTGAGAAAATTGGTCATTGTCCTCTCTGTACCCTTCCAGATGCAAAACACATCATCGACATACCTCGACCAGTGTAAAACATTACTGGTGAGGGGGGAGGTCGAATCGAATATAAGGTCCTCTACGTATGACATGAATATCTCACTGAGAAGGGGGGAGAGGGGAGAGCCCATTGGAAGACCGTTAAGTTGTAAATAATATTTATTATTGAACTTGAACTAGTTTTGTTTTAAACAAATGGATATAAATTTTGAAATTTCTTGTTTTGAATCAACACACAAGGAAAGGCTATTGTCAACCAGATATTTAATAATATTCCTTAGATGGTCTGTAGGGATGGAGGGAAATAGATTAACAACATCGAATGAAAGCAATCGTGCATTACATGGAATTTTGAGATCTCTAAGTTTATCTATTAGTTGACTTGTATTTTCAATACTATGTTTTGGCTTAAAGTTGAGTAAGGAAGGGAGTATTTTATTAAGTTCTTTTGCGAGTAAGTAGGTTGGTGCATTAGTATAAGATACTATTGGTCTCATTAGTATGCCCTCCTTGTGTATTTTAGGTAAGCTGTATAGTACCAGCACCGTAGGATTCAACACAGCGAACCACTTAGACGCTGCCATAACGTAGAATTTGATATTTTAGATGAAGAGACGAGAAATTATGTTCGAGAAATTTCACACACACACCGCCAAACACATACTAAGAAACTTAATAGGCTCATACAGAAGAAGAACAGCAAAATACAACAGAAAGCAAATAATTCACCACTTACCACACATACAAAGGTTAATAGAAAACAACAGACTACGTCATCGGCCACCGCGGAATCCAGTACAAAGTTTGATTTTTCTTTTTCTTTTTATCCAAGAGTCAAGAACTTATCGGAAGTTACGTTCACACAAAATGAAATAAACATTTTGAATAAAGGTTTAAAGTACTGTCCTAACATTAAAAACTTTAAAGATTTTATCGAACTTTCTGTAAACGCAGAAATAGCATCAAAATGTATAGATAAAAACGAACTACAACTTATTAGATACAAATGCGTTAACGTAATAAATAAAAAAAAATAACAATTTTCAACTAACAATAGCTCAAAATTCAAAAGTATTATTTCTTTAAAGAAAAAACTCAAAAATAATGATTTAATTTTATGTAAAGCTGACAAAGAAAACACTGTTACCATTTTAAATAAGTGTGACTATATTAAAAAGACAAAACTTTTAATAAATAACAATAATTTTAAAATTTTGAATTCTGATCCTACAGCAAAATTTCAAAGGGACACTAAGTCATTTTAAAAAATTGTACAAACATACTCCATGATTGTAATTTGCACATATTAACTGTTATGAATCCTACGGTGCCGGTACTATACAGCTTACCTAAAATACACAAGGAGGGCATACTAATGAGACCAATAGTATCTTATACTAATGCACCAACCTACTTACTCGCAAAAGAACTTAATAAAATACTCCCTTCCTTACTCAACTTTAAGCCAAAACATAGTATTGAAAATACAAGTCAACTAATAGATAAACTTAGAGATCTCAAAATTCCATGTAATGCACGATTGCTTTTATTCGATGTTGTTAATCTATTTCCCTCCATCCCTACAGACCATCTAAAGAATATTATTAAATATCTGGTTGACAATAGCCCTTCCTTGTGTGTTGATTCAAAACAAGAAATTT